CCCATTGTAAACTTGTTCATGACAGATTGTATTTATTACTGTATAATGCACATACATGAGATAAGTCTATCTGAAGTCTAAAGGCTGTTGGAAATCATTATGTTAAATCTCAACATTCTGAAGAGAAGCAACACCAGCAAAAACTGGTTTACATTCTGGATGGTTACAGACACAGAACTAGATGTAAATTAATCTGTACTAAGTATAACCACAGCTATGCATTTAAGCACAGAGACCAAAAATTCTTTGAGTCTTATTCTTGTTAGTATAAGAATTTACAGGTTAGAAGTTGTACAGAGAGCAAACAAACTATGGTTTCAAAGGTTTCCCCAAAACGATACCAACAAAACATGGTTTCCAGGGTAGAGAACATCTGACCCATGATTTCCATCTTCCTTTGTACTAGATGGAAACATATGCAAATAATGTTTTGGACCTGATGTGTTCCAGCATCTGAAAGAGGTAGATCTGCTTGTTGGCTAAGCTGTTGTTTATAGCGAAACCAGAAGTGTTTGGGATTACAACAAACATTGTTTACATTCAAGCAACTCAGGTAAAAGAAGAGAAGTCATTTTCCACTCAGCACACAGTAAGTTTGCATTATAGCAGTGATGCTCAGACCTCTGTGGTTCAGAAGCCAAATAAGCAATCAACCTTACCCAAAGGAGCCACAGTTGTAGAGAAATTATTCTTCTCAAAACATGCAGTAACTTACTGCAAATTAATAATAGGGTAACATAGAAAAGCCACTCTGATTGGTTAATAACTTTCCTGGGCATAAAGGACCACTCAAGAGCCACTTGCTGCTCTCAAGCCTTATTCTGAGTATCACTGCATTAGAGTGAGAACTGACGTAATTCACCACAACTCTGACACTTGTATGTTGAAGCAAGTAAAATAATGCCCTTACCTGCTATGGTGCAAATCAAGTATTTTCTGCAGCCATGGGGATCATAGTAGTTTCATTCTTGTTCGCAAATGTATAGTAAGAGCTGAATGGTGGAGACAAAAAAGAAAAGTTTAACTTTCAAAGGAAAACTAATGTTTTCTGTTAAGAGCGTGAAAGAACACATGGCTCAAAACTAATATTTCAGAGTTTTATGTTGAGGTTTGGAAAGTTGATCTGAAGATATCTGAGGTCTCACTAGTAACAGAGAACACCAAGATTAATTCATTTACAATGCCAAAATATAAGGAGGGTTCTAATGTCAAAGCCTTCTGATTTAAGAGGGATGGTGTGGGTGACGGAAAGTAATCTTCACTTAAAGGCAATATGCAAAGAAAGAAAAAAAGAGGGTTTATGCCACTTCAATACTGTTTGGCTGCATATAAGAGCAGCCTCAATGATATTAGAAAATCAGTTATTGGCAACTACAGGCAGTCCCTGGGTTACGTACAAGATAGGGACTATAGGTTTGTTCTTAAGTTGAATTTGTATGTAAGTAGGAACTGGCTCCAGATTCAGCTGCTGCCACTGAAACTGACCGGGGCTGACTACAGGAAGCCGGAGGCAGAGTTGCTCTGCCCCCAGCTTCCTGGAATCAGCCTGATCAGTTTCAACAGCTGCTGAATCTGGAGCCTGGGACAGAACAGCTGGGGCGCTGCCCGGTAGGTTCCCACAGGACCAACCCGGCAGCACCCCAGCTGCTCTACCCAAGGCGTCCCGCAACAAAAGCCTGGTCTGCTGGGGGGGCGGGGTGCACTAGCTGCGCTCCCTCCCCCCCAGCAGACCAGGGAGACCCGAGCAAAGCCGCACAGGCAGAGGGACCCCGCCACCCGTGTGGCTTTGCTCCTTTGCCCCCAGCAGACCAGGGGGACAGGAGCAAAGCCGCCCAGGCGGCGGGGGTCCCGCTGCCTGGGCCGCTTTGCTACCGGGCCAAC